AGCCAAAGGCAAAAGAATTGTTCACATAACAAACAACTTGGTTTAATTTTAACTCCCATGGAAAGCCTTAAAAAAATTCTCATGCTACTCAAAATCTCTATATTTTGACATAATTTCTCTCCAGCTCTGAAGCCCAATTCTGTAACCTCTGCCTTTGTCAATAAGAACAAGTGTACTGCAACCGCATTTGTGGCTTCATACTTTTCAAAACTGAAACTTAGATTTGTTTAATGACCCCCTTTATGCTTGTGTAAAAAAAAAAGTATGTTTACCTTCAAAGTCTACAATTACAAGTACAGTCAATTAAATATTGGACTTGTGTTTCTAATGACAATTTAGCAGACATGCTCAAATGTTCCTTGCTGCAGTCCCTGAGTCTCCATCTCCATCAACTTTGTTAACCGAATATACACACAAAAAAAACTTGGATTAGTGGATAGTAGAAAGCAGTCTAAATGGAACTGATGCATTCTCAATGACAGCATTCCAATGTGACAAATATCTGAAGAAACAGATTCATTGCTCTGGAGTCATCAGAATGGAATTCTACAGACTTCTACAGCAGATGCACAACAGAATATGCACTTAACAACTCTATATATTATAAAATTTCTACAATACACAGTATAGATCAATTAGAGTTTATTTATAGGAAGGGTAAGAGAGAGATCATGGGAATTTTTTTTTTTTTTTTTTGGAATATGTACAAAATGCGTAACATTATCTAGCCAGGATTCAGTAAACATCATCATATACTCAACATGTAAGCTGGCGACACGAATCATGTAATATCATAGGTGATGATGATATTATGCTTATTCAACACAAAAACAAACCACTTATTTATGACATGATGATGCAACATTTAACTGCCCTAGGAACGATTACCCTGAAAACAAGATGAGCTGAACACTTACAACGTCAACAGACAGCCTACATTGGAAGCAGGGAACCTATTCGGAAGGAATTTACAAATGCGATGACCTAAAACAGAACACTAAGAATATGATGACAATAACGTTTGACAATGATGAAAAAAATTGTTTAATATCCCCACAATCTAGAAGATGAGAAACAGTCTTTCGTACACATAAATAACCAAAAACATTGGACTTTCTTCCAAAATAATCAAACTGAATTATATAAGTCATTCGTTAAACTTCTGGAACACAAAAAGAGTAAGCAAGAACGGTAAGTAATGAATGCTTTTTGTAAACAATATGAAGTTGTGACACAAGAATGAGTAAAATCTCACCAACCAGGAAGAGTCACATGATAAGATTAGACCGAAATAGAATGACGATAAAGCAACCAGCACCACACGTTAGGGTTAAGAAAAACAGAACACTTGGTATGAGAATGCCAGCACAACACAAACTCTTGGGACACACAATGGTGTTGTATAACACATAAGCCAGGCGAGTATTGAGAGCAAACAAGGAGCTTCGTTGACCAGCAAAACAGTAGCGGTAATACACAGCGGTATATCATATATACACATGGTGACAACAACGACGCTTACTATGGTGACCAAAAGGAAGAGCTGGAGACATCCACATTGTTCAACTCCTTTGATGGTATACACTTAAGACTAAAGGTCTATCTATTTGCAAGGGGTTCTCAGCGACCAATGCTTCAGACTTTCATCTACGTGAGCTGTACATCAGATGGGAAGTGCACTGTGATAGTTTATATGTCCTTTCAATCTTGACTAAAGAATTTTACTCATGTGTTTTTGTAAAAACTTTCCTAAATTTGTAAACTTCAAATGAAAATCCCAGTCTTGCTTTCCCGCGAAAATTCTTTTCAGTGTCCTTATCTTAGTCTTAAGAAACAATTTTAAAAAGAGAATTTCTTCTAAACATAAATTAAAGATTCATCTTGCAGAGCATGGTAAGGTAGCATTTGTGGATCTTAACAATGAGAACTGGGACAGGATCTCCAGTGAAAGTCTCCTTCTCCTCCTGGTGTCACCTGACTCGATCCATTCAAACAGTATTGCACAGAGGCTAAGGATTAGCAAAAGCTGTGAAAAGTTTATGTATATATTATGTAAAGGACCTGACTTAGACTGAAAAAAAATTTGGAAAGAGAAAAAGAGAGAAGCACACAATCGCAATGAGATTAAGACAAAACACAACAGCTTTCTCAAAATGACAGATGAAAACCGGTATTGGTGGCCCACAAAATCTCAAGATGGTAACGGTCATACAAAAACTAGTCAACAAACACATAAAAGGATGACAATTTTGTAACTGAACATTTTCTTTGCAAATAACAAAGTACATATTGTTAAGTTTTCCTCTTATAAAATTTGAAAATCTTGTTGCAGGCCATGATTAAGGAAAGATAATTAAAAATATAGATTAAAATAAGAACAAATATGTGTTCAATTTTTGGGTTTCTAAGTTTCTGAAATTCAAGATCATCGTAGACTTAATCTTGGAAAATGAAATACAATATTTCATTTCGTCATACATAGACTTTTGGAAATGTCATGAACATGAACTGGAACTCAAACGAGTTTGACAGTCAAACAGATGAAGCAAAGAAACAAAGCTGAAGATAGATCATCAAAACATTGCAGAAGGGGGTTCAAAGAGGGAGCACACTAAGTCTGAGCAACTCTTAAAACACAGAGACCAAAGCATGCGTACAGAGCACACTTAAAGTGCCATGTGGATGGCATAAGTAGCAAGTCGAAAGAGTCCACTGGAGGATCGCCAGCTTGAAACAAGTGTCTTTTCTCACAGTGTGTAGCAACTGTGCATTACAATTTTCAGCCTCCTGTCTTGACAATGTGTAACAAAATAAACATTCCTTAATCTTTACAGCATTACCCAATGTTGGAAACGATCCTGATACAGGCAATCCAAAGCTATCAGTATCAATGACATTAAACAAATAACAACAGCGCAGGCCAAATATTCTTCAGACTTCCTTCTTGCTTGAAGGACTATCAGTTGACCGGCACCTCAATGTTTCTTTGCTTCTAACTGATGGACCCCATTTCCAAGTCTCTTTTGAGGTTCATAGAAGACACAAACACCCACCCTCCCCAATGTGTTGCAAGCAGAAGCCCAGAGTCACGTAAGATAAGCTAGACCCTGCCGCATTTTGTTTCTGATAACATCTGGCTGTCGCCTCACAGGCACAATTTCTCGCACCCGTGAGATAAAGAACAGTATGTCCGGACAGCGCATGATGAAGATCAACTTTGCAACCAACTCTTCCTCCAGCCAGTAATCTTTGAGCTCACGCGACAGAAAGATGTTGTCCATGAGCGAGATGAGTCCGTCCACCTCCGGCAGCTCTTCGAACTGGATAAGGGTCATGCGGTTGGCTACCATGGTGCCGCGGATGAAGCGGGCTAGCACCATGACCAGGGAGATATACAGGGCCACAATACCACCTCGGACTGGTCTGGGGAAATGAAGTCCCACAGGCCGGAGGGGGAAATTGACTGACAAGAGGAAAAGATGGAAGAGGAGGAGGAGAAGAAGGAGTACAAAAAGAACAAGAATGATAGAAAAAGAACCAGAGGAACAAAAATGATAAGGAGGAGGAGGAAAAAGAAGAAAAAGAAGAAGAAGAAGAAGAGGATAAAGAAGAAGAAGAAGAAGATGGTTGGTAGATAAAAAAGAGAAGTAAAAAAGAAGACAACAAAGGGAGACAAGAGAGGAGAAGGTAACCTCTCCTGAGTACTGCATTATATTCACCTACCCTCTTAGAGGACTGGGGTAGGCACCTCTTTTAACTTACAGTAAATAATAATTAAATGAGAGACAAAAAGTCAGGCCGTTGGGAAAGTCAGTCACAATGCTCAGCATGTGCCTATGTCCATGACTTAAATAAACCCTCCGTGCCAAGAGAACATCTATAGAGTGTTAAAGCTTGTTACTCATTGACAAAAAACTCCAAAGAACCCAGTTGCAACCTTCAACTTCAATAAAAAAATTTCCCACTATATATTGCACGCATGGAAAAGTCTTACAAAAAACCAAAACCCCAACACATTAACTGATGCAGCCTTTACAAAACAAACTACGAATATAAATACGTGACCTTTCAAGACCATTTCCACAGCACATATCACAACCAAAACATCGTCTGCATATAAATGGCTGTTTTAGCAAATATTGCAACTAACATAAATGAAAAAATCTGCAGGCACATCATATCATCCCTACCCCCCCCC